TATCAATTTCATTTCACATAATTTATATGTGGCGCGGTAGCCAATCAACTTCGTTACATATCAGAAAACAAGACGGTGATTGGCTGCCGCGTCAACTAACCTGAAGCACAGACATAATGCATAATGCATAATGCATTAGAAAAAAGTGAATGAATTAGAATTTTCTATTTTCATTATGAATGAAGACATGGAAGATGACTGATAAATTTTCTTACGCATTATGCGTTATGCAAAAGTGTGTATATTTCCGGCCTAAGGGCCATCGCATATAAAATGCATAAAATATAACATGTACATTAATCTGGACTAATGAACTTCCAGCATAAAATCGTTACATTGATTTGTATAACATGTTTGTTAGTCCAGACAATTTTATATTATTTACGATTTTATATTATTATTGTATTATTTTATATATATATGCAGCTATGTCATATAGACTGCGTTTCGAAATTCACTACCAGTATTGAAAATCTATAATGTACGTGATTTGAACTATATATTTTCAGTACTGACAGTGAATTTCGAAACGCGACCTTTGTATGCGATGGCTCTAAGGGCCACTTTCATCAACCGGTTAACTTAATCGGTCAATTATTTCATTGGAATTGACCAATCGCAATTTGTCTACAAATTTAAATGTAATTAATATAATTATAATAAATTATAATTTCTTTGTCATTCTGTTACTGTCAGTTGCGTTGTGTTCAATTGTCGAGAAGGCTGCCTACGAGATTTTAGGAATGCATTGAATTGACATGAGACGCAAGCCATGTTTCTGTACAAAATTCATCATACATAACATCAGTAATTTATTTCCAAAGTAATTATTTCATTAAAGTTACATTTTTCTTTATTTTTATACCATGATATTTTGTTTTTATTTATTATTCATTATTTGTTATTGTTTATTTATTATTTTAATTTATCTTGTATTTTACATTACATTTGACAACGGTTTATTCCTGTCCTATTTAAATGAACTGATTACAATTTACGTTTCCCATAATTTATTCATTTTTATAATTGACTTTAATAATTGACAAATTGCAATTGAACTGAGAACAGAGTTCTGCGTTCTTAGATGCCTCACATAGACATGTTCTTTTCACAGCGCCATCAGGTATTGATAGTGAACAATAATTTTGAATTAAAACAGCTGTTTCACCTTTATATTTTTTAGGACAGTTAATAAGAGAATATGTATGTCACATTCTTAATTTTAACTCGAAAGCAGCGCAATATTTACTACACATCGATATAATAAATCTGATAATTATATTAAAGATCACGCTTGATTTGTTTGTTAAAAAAACATTTTGTTACATCACTCTTCGTTTAATGTATTTTAGTAAGTGCCAATTTTTTTTTTTAGACAATATTTGATATCACCATACATTACTGCCTGTATTATTAAGTTTAAGTAAGCATATCTCACCTATTCTCATCTTTCCATTTCTATGCTTTTGTGTCTATAGATCCACTGAGGATGACCTAAATCAGGTCGAAACGTTACGTTTGATCGAAATTAATTTTAAATAAATACATTTCTCAGCACGACGAACCGACTTTTGGCTTTCCTGCTCCTATTACTTACATATTATTTTGAGGAAGCCTGGACATTGCCTTAACAATTTTTATAATAAATTAATAAAATTAATAAATATATAATAAATATATAATAAATATATAATAAATTAATAAATTAAATTTGTGGACAAGTTGTGATTGTCAATTTTAATGAAATAACTGACCAATTAACTTAACCAGAAATTATGAAATCTCCGGTAAATCGCCCTAAGTATTCTGCTGTGCTTCTGAATGCATCTATAGGATGTTCGGCGGAATAAAACGATCAGTGAACGATCAATAATTATTACTTTTTACTATTAGATCAATTACGTTAACGAATTACGCAATCGTGTTACTGCAATCCACGTCCCGTCGTTTTTTCATTCTATTATATTGCCAACCTGACAAATATTTATTTTTGATTGTTAAAAGCGTCACATCTTTTTTCGATGAAATAATCGTCATAACAAGTAAAACTATTTTTTTCCTAACCTTTATTTTGTTTATACGCGGCCTATTGAGGGCCGCGATCACTAATAATAACAATAAAAAATAATATAATAACTTAATCTTAGATAATATTAAAGCTCTTATTAAAGCTTTCCATTAAAAGTTCGGAAGTAATTCATCTTATTATCGATAGATGTCTTAAGGAGCTAGTTATCATAGTTATGGCCTATAGATGTCGCACGAACAAAGTTTCCTATATTACCGATAGATAGTTCCTTGCGAATCCAACAGATGATCTGAATCAAATTTGATTTCACCTTAAACTTAACTTTTATACATTAATAAGACAAAATAAAAGAAAATATTGTTAACAAAATTATTATGTTTCACACAGGGAATAAGGGGATAATAATAAAATTTTTGAAAAGACACAAATAAATAAAACCATGATGACGTCACTCAAAATCCTGTGAATAATAAGATAAATTTAAATTTGTAAAATGGTCAGTTTAGTAACGATAACAGGGCATAAAAGAAATTTATCAAAAATTCAAAATTGCAAATTTTCAAAATGGCAATCCTTTGATAACAAACCAAAATGATAACGTCATTTGATAGCCTTATGTTAATTGTAAAATATAACGATTAAATTTTCTTGATACGACCGATAGTTTCCGAAATAACTACATTTGTTTATAATTTTGCAACTTTCTCTCAGCAACTCCCCTTACCCCGTTGAGTGTATTAGTAAAGATCCGACATCAATTCGACTTCGTTCTCGATATATTCACAATTATTTATTGCAAAAAGCGATCAGCCACTAAGTATATTGTTATAAAATAAATCATGAACAATAAGAATTTCATAAGGTCAATTGTTATAAACGATTAACGGTAAATTTTTATTAATAAATAACCATAGTAAATAATGTTAATTTACCTCCTCTTTCGACCTAATATAAAAATCTTGTGAAAAAACGAGAAATAGAAAAAGAAAAATCGTTTTTATGGAAGAAGAGCCTTAAACAATGACGCCACCGACATACACGAATACACTCATACCTTGTTCTATGTGTGTCTCATAAAAAGGTATCACCTGTAGAATATAGTAGGTGATACATGTGTATATTTTACGGACGTCCTATATTCGTCATAAACTGTAAGATTTACGAAAACTTATAAATCTTACGGATGCAGTAAGCTTGAAAAACTAAATCCAATATGTGAAATTAAAACGCAAGTTATTTAACTTAAAGATTTTATTAAAAATTTAATAGGAACCTTTTATTCCCGATTTTAG